GTCATTATTCTAGGCCAAGCAGTAAATCATTTGTAGTATATTTAGTGTACCCGGCGTTTCTTTTTCGTGTTAATATATATCGGAACACCGGATTGTTATCTGGATAGTTACATACACTAGGATGATCCAAATTCCCCAAAAGTTCCAATCGACCAGCGTTAGGCATGTTACATGAAAAATTAAAAAGGGCCTGGTTTCTTGAATTTCAGTAATCAGTCAAGTAAGGGAAGATTGAAAATCCTCTAAAATGTAAATATACAAGTTTTGCCATCTATGTTCAGTATTATTTTTAGGAACAACATTTACTGTAATATTAGGTAAAATAAAAAGTAACACTGCTTAAGACCCACATCTGGATCATCACATAATAGTTTCACCATCTTAGTCCAATCATACAATTTTCCCACAAAATATTCAACACAATAACTGTACACCTACAGTATATTAGACAATAAAAAACCCTTGACTACCACCAGGTCTTGTTCAACATATACCTGTATATGATTTCCCAAAGTTCCACATTGAGTCCACTCAATGAGTCCAAGTACAACCATAACATAATTCCGTTAATTCTATAGCTAAAAAAACTATCCCCCATACGCATCCATGTATGTCTCACTAAGGGAAAAAAACAATATCACCACAGTGATATTCCACAAAGTCACCAATTCCGTTAGGTGCCCTGAAAAACAGTTCCGTTAGGCGTCCAGGTTACTACCTCTCCATACCCTGGTTAACCTTCTATAAAGATATGTCTCACACGAAAAGTAGCTACCTACAAGACTTTACCCACTGGTGGTAGTTCACATAACTAGACAACAACTCAGTACACAGAATCCGTGAGTTGTGTCCCCTTATAGTATTAAGCCTGATCAACTATGTGTTACAAAAAACAATGAAGTCTGCATCAAAATAATCTATCAAGAACCTAACCTCATCGGCTCTCTCTAGCTACTTGAACATATTAGCTTGTGGTGAATTCAGTATGTGGGCCTCAATAACATACCAGAATCATATTATTTAGTGTTCCATCAAAATAGATTATTCGACAAAGTGTGATCACTACACTTTCAAAAATATAGGTACCTCAAATCTATACATGAGAAATAATTGCCCATATAAACAACTGTCTTATCACAAAACACTAGCATACACACTAGTTACACAACATTTTCCAAAATATCGGTTCCTCAAGTCTATACATGAAAAATAATTGTCCATATAAACACACGTCTTCAACACACTAGCACACACACTGGTTACACACACAGAAGATTAATAAAAATTATGTGCATTATACAATATATATAGAAAAAAAATCATCTGATAACCAAGTTTCCGCTGCCACCAAAACTATGTAACAGCCAAGTGGTATAACTCAACCACTAATCTTGGTAGCGCAGCTGACTGCTGCAAAGAAGTTTGAATAATTACTCTGATTTATACCAGTTTCTTACATAAAACTCTTTGACTTTGTTATATAAATGTTACTCTATAATTGAATGGGTCTTTCTTCATCTTGGATCCTTTCTTCATCCGTCTAGAGTCCACAACATTGACTTATACTTAAGGATTGTTTCTTATATTTACACTTGGTCACTTCGAAATTAAAAAAAAAATAATTTAAAAATCACCTAATACACATTGTTCGAACAGCCGCCTGCTTTATAGAACAGCCAAGTAAATCCGAAAACACTAGGTGCCGTTGACAAGTACAGTAAACAAAACAGTTCTCAAAGATAAGAGTACAATCAACATGTTTTATAATATTTATTAAAGTATTTAGACATTCTTTTATTTTTAAGAATCAATATTTCATCATTTACACAATATTCCTCTATCATAGTACACAAATTCATTATTTAACACCGCGCAGCTATATATCTATAAATACGTGATGAGGACGCCCGATCAGTTGATCGAAAGAGCGGGAAAACGATGAACATGACACGCCATTTTCTCCACGTTGATAATGCTAGTGCGTGTTGTTGAATGTGAACGTGCATCCATGGAAGGATGACTTAGATAGAAACCCTGATGACATGTTTGACTGAAAGGCTGTAGCAGAATAATTCGTACTGAGGTTAGGTTGTGTTTTTTCTGAGGGCATCGGTACATCCTGGCGACATTCGGTTGGGACATTACAAATAGCACGTGTTTCAGCCACAGGTTTTTTCAACATTTATACCGGCTGCGATCACGGAGAGTGAGATGGACATACTTTTCTGTTGTGTATCTGAACAGGATCGATTGTAAGATTGCAACGACATTTCATTTCTGTGTCCAGACAGAAACGTTATGGATCTGGATTCATATCCGAGATATTCAATACAGGTAGCCCGTAGGCAGTGAGCAGTGTATTTTTTAGGAAGGCCTGCAGCCTTGCACAAGTCCGCCATCATATTAGCGTAAGTGCGATTCGCCAAAGTGTTGTTTGTGTACCATATAGGTGATGACGATGGAACGTCGCGAATGTAATGGTTAAACATCATTTCTGCGCTGGTTGAGTTTTGCTTAGAAACAATTTAAGAAGTTTACCGGGGCAAAAATCTGCACCAATGCTGTACATTCTCTTGCCCGAAGGTGCTTCAAATTGTGTTAACATCCCCCCCTCCCCTGGAATTTTTTCTGTTGTGTTTCGTGATTGATAACAACGAATTCAACGCCATTCTTGTCAGTGGAGAAATCGAAAGAGTTTATACGTAATTGTTTATTGAATTCCAGTCCCCGGCTTACGTAGTGGATCGCCAGATTATACCACACAGTCTGTCTCAAAATTACATGAGAGGATTTATATCCATGCTCAAGGTAAGAACTTATTTTACTAAGGTCACCTTTTGTGATTATTTCCTTGTGTGCTGTAGGTCTACATAACCCCGTCCTCATTCGATCTTTTAAAAGACCATTTAATATTCTATTAACTTTCTTAAAACTACTATCCCTGACAATGTAAACGTTTCTTCCAATATACTGCAAATGTCTATTTATAGCAGCGCGCATGTTTTTCAAAGTGTTCTTCTGGTACTCCTGCAATGCTGGTGCCCCGGCTCTCTGGTCAGTTGGTTTAGGGCGAGCCTCGCAATAATATTTGGCCATTGTTTTTGCCAGGCTTTCAGAGTTCACTGCATTGAAGTCCATTGTGATGTTATACACTTCCTGGTGCCAATCTAAAACGTGATAATTGAGGAGGCTTAGCTGTGTCGAACACTAAGTGTATTACTTTGTGCAATATTAAAATGGATCTGAATATTGTTTACAAGTAAACTGCAATGACCGATTTATATTGATTTGCATTTTATCAACGCATACTATTGCACAATGTTTCAATCATCACGACCTAAACATGTCTAACCTTGAAAGGTTCTAATTACCCAGGCGGTGTTTTCTTTGGTATATCAGACTTGCGCTGATTGGCCTCCTCGTACTGTTTGATCTTTTCGGCAGTTACATTGTTGAACCTTTTCCCTGTGTCAGGTTTGATCTCTAGCTCTTTGCTAGCTTCGGTTACACCATTGTCAACATGGATGTGGGTGACATCTGACAGTTGTGTCCCCACTGTGGTAATCTCAGTAACGTTTGTGTCGGACAAATGTGACGTTTCTAGGCTCTTTTCTTTTACAGTATTAGAATTTATATCTGTACATGTTTTTCCCTCTCCTCCGAGTTCACTAGCAAGATTTAGTAACTCTGCCAAGTTGTTGTCGGGGCAAAATGTTGTCATAGTCGGAGTCTCCGGAGGTGGTAGGCCCAAGCCTAAGTCATCCGACTCTAAAATGGCCTTTTCTATATTTTGCCACTCTAGCAAGCTTAGTTCTGTTGAAGCTTGAATAGTTCCGGAGTTTCCGGTAATATAGTCCAAGTTTTTGGGTAACTTGAGTTCAAAAAGCCCACAATCCATCGCCCCTCGTCATCGGACATAGCGCCACCTTCAGTCATGATGACGGTGTGTTGCAGACGACAAAATTCCTATCTCGAGCGCTTAATTCAAACAAGATCGATTTAGGTTTACTGATTGATTTTATTTCTTATTAATGCCATATATTTTAAAGTTATTTTTGTAAGGATTGACATTTTTCTTTACTTTTCCGAACGACATAAACTATAAACTCATTAGAGTTCGTAGAGTTCGCAACTTGGACAAGTAGTTCTTACATTTTATTAGATATATATGCGCAAGCCTAAGCACCGTACGTAAATATCGAAAATTATTAACACTGGGTTAGGCTTACTTCATCTACAGAGAATGCAACGCAAGCGTAAATAGTTGTATTTCTGATAATGACCTTTGCCGAGAACTCAGTTTCATACAACTGAGGTATAATTCATACCCAGAACTGAACTCAAAAGAGTTGTCTGCCCTTTGTCCATTAATAATGACTTGAGACCAGAATGGCATTTAACAAGTATTTAGATAATCAAAGCCACAATCACTATCCCCGGGACAGCGATTCTACTCAAATACAACCAAGAGTAATATAGAGTTCAATAATTTAATTAGGGATTCTTATTTCATATGACAATGACAATAAATTATACCTAACCTAGCACTCTCAGGGTACCTATTTTTTATAGTAAATTTGTAACTTAATCCCACTGTTGAAACTTGAGAAATTTGAAATAAGTGTTGCACATGAAAACCATTATTACGCAAGCATGTTACAAAATGGCCTGCCTGGCTGCCGTGTCAAAGTTTTGAAAAGGTCGAAAATTAAGATTTTGTTGGCTACATTTTTTTAACATTCCCACCAATTTTAGCTCAAGGATGCCAGTGGAACTTGAGACGTTTAAAGTATGTTTTTCAAGATGGCAGACATTTTGTATTTTAGACCGACCTGAAAAATAGCACCACTTGGTCAGGCTATCTCAGGATCGACAACGGACGAAGCGCAATGACTATCGGTTCATGAAAAAATAGACGTGAGATTCATTTAATAGGTATCGTCATGTTATGAGCTGTTGTTTTGCAGATGCCACGTTCTTTCTCTGTGTTAAACATATGTTCATTTCTTCAATGTGATCACTTGTCCAGTTTTGTACGACTCTTTTACAGCGTCTATAACTTTAGCAGCCCTCTCAGGAAAAACACGCGTCACCTCGAGTTCCGCCTTCCCTGTACACAGAAACATAAGTTATTTCATAAATTAGCACCGCATATCGTCGCATTATATGATAGATAATACTACAATGTATTTGATTTACAGATGTATTGATAAGCAACAGGAAATAAAATAATTGATAGAATTCAATATATAAATCAAATGACAAAATTATGTAACGTAGACCATGATATGAGGACAGATGTGCAAAGTATCGCAATGGGGTCAACAGATCAGTGATGGTCTATTCTACGTCCTGATGCCAAGGAACAAGAACGAAAACGATATTGTAGTATGCTCACTTAAGCCGAGGCATATAATCATACTGTAGATTATTCGAAATATGCTATCATTACAAACCTTGTATGACATCAAGAAAATGTTCTTGTTCAGATGTGTAAGCTTGAAGGAACCTGTCCGGGAACGAAGCATAAATCTGACCTGTACTTTGGCCACTTTGTGTGTAAGTCTTTACTAATGAAACTGGTTTGGCATTAGTTATCTCCATTCCTTCTGAACCTGACACTCTGCGATTGACGAAAATATTACATTTAAAAAACGAAATTCCAATACGTCATACCGTAGCTAATAAATTGACAAGCGGCTAGGAATTCAAGCTTTTAACTTTAAACTGAGTAACATTGATATTTTACATAACCTTCTTAGTAACGATGGGTCTTACTCTAATCTGACGTCATATCCGTAAGGAGAATATTTACAGAAATCCAGAATACCAAGCATTCCACATGGGAACCTCATCAAAATTCCAACCGTGTCAACGTCACATTTTCCTGCAACTTCCTGCGTGAGATAGATATGTTTTGTTCTAATGGCTATGATATTAATTAAATAGATCTTTAAAGTCAATATAACAGAATAATGACAATAATGATAACAATTACGAGTTTTCGTACCTTAAAATCATTGGAAAGCAACTAGCAACACATCAATTAATATCTGAGAAAATTAAATGTACACGAAATTGATTCAAAATATTGGATCCCGAAAGACCCTTGTAAACCAGGAGAATTATAAAACATATAATAACTGCGAATTGGCACTGAAGGGAAAAAATATTTCAGTTTTTAATCGACCCTACTTCATAGCAGTACATACACATACTCCAGTCGCTGGACATGACAGTCTCATTTGAGTGATTACATGAGTGTAAACAATTACTACTCGCCTTAATATTAGCAGTAGCTTGTACTACGACAGTGTCAGGAAGAGCACCAGCGAACCAGCAAAGCAGGTCTACGTCGTGACTGAGAAAAGTCTGAGAAAGGGATGGATCCCCCATCCACAATGGAGTGTCACGAAATGTTGTTTTGACCATGTAAATCTTCCCTAGGCCGCCCGATCGGGCTTTCTCGTACATACTCCGGATTCCAAAGTCAAAATGTCTTTGTTGAAGACAAAAGCATAAAAATTATAAAAAAGGTTGTCAATAAGAATGTCATATCAAGTCAAAGCTGCAAATCCAGATATTAATAAAAATAACAAGAAAATGCTAGCATGTAAAAAAATAACCCATCATAATCCAAACTCAAGTTCAATTAAACCATGGCAAGTAACAAAGCCAAATTTTTGCGGCGCCTCTTGAAAAAGTACAAGGAGAATAAGATTAGATGTTCCATAAGACTAAGCCTGTTCTGCTTCATTGACGACACCTGCCATGTAAACCTCGGTCAATAAAAGAAGGTGTTGTCAAGGACTACAACAATTCTGAATTTTAGAACACAGCAGGGATTGCCGTACATGTGTCAAAGCATGGAAACATGTTATAAATTATCAACATTAATATGGGTTCTCATTTAAATAATTCAATAAGTATCGGTGATCACTTCATAGAAAAACTGAGAAGTTCATCAAACATCAAAAGTATTATCATAATTATGATTACATGTCCCGTCAACACACAAAAGGTCATTAGAGCCATCAACTGGTGAAACACAAAGATTGAAATGGTACGTCATAGTCTATAAAACAGGTTAACATCTTTCAGATAACATATAATTTTATTTATCTCAACAGTTTCAAGAACATGTCTTTAACGTTGCGATAAAAATATTTTTATGTTAACAGAACGTCACTGCAGTTCAATAAAAAAACCTGTGAATGGCTCATCACATCCTATGCACCAAGGATTATCTTTGCCTTTCAACGTATATGAATGTGTAAGGTAAGTATGGTCCATCTGAAGACTGGCAAGGACAACTTCGTCTCGGTGGTTGTCTCTATAGCATGGAGTCTATTCACCGATAATAGAAACAGTTTTTGCTAGCGCAGTAGTAGGGGAAGAATAAAATCAGTAAAAAGTGAATTTTAAAGACAACAGGTGGTAGCGATAAAGATTCCCTTGCGGCTGTGCTGACATATCTCTGGTAACAACACTGAACTGATCTTAACCAATTTAATGATACAAGCGATCTTAAACACCCCTATGTTGTATCATTTACGTCCCTTAAGCCTATGACGTGTGAACTTGCCATCCGTGATTTGGCGCGCCATATTCGAACTGTTAATCAGCCAAGCATTCAAATATCGTCAGCATTATAATTGAATAATCGATTGAATGAATATCCATATCATTACTAACTATTAATGACATTTATTGTCATTGTATTTCAAATACGCATACTACATTGCCTAGATAGAGTTATTCCTCTGGTGTTCTGACAAGATAACAGACAAGTCAGCTTCTATTCCTTGCAAAATATTTGCTTATGCATATTTATAACAACTATCGGGTGATAATGGCGAGAGCTTTATGGTGTATATGGGGACACTGATTTGATTTCAGAGGCAGAAGGATCGACAAAAGACAGAAGCGTATTTAGATACAATATTACCTGTTAAATGCACAGAACAACATTCCCGCATACTTTTCTGCGTCGTTATAACATGCTTCAATATCTGCTAATTCCTCTGACAGTGGTTTTTCGCAGAAAACAGCTTTCCCTTTTTGAAACAAAAGAAATATTGTTCCATTTTAGACAGATCTGTATCTTGCAATGATTTTTTTAAAACTTTTATCGGGAATTTGATTCCAGTTTTCTTTCAGGTTTCCTCAATGGATTTTACCAGCAATAAAACAAAACATGCTTATTCAGATGATACGGGTGAATTTTACAGGAAACAGAGCCAAATATCCATTAGTACTCACGTGCGGCCAGAGCTTTCCTAACGAGAATCGTATGTGTGTCCGTTGGTGTACATATGAAGATTCCTTGCACTCTGCCATTAATCATGCAACACCATAATTAAACATTATAATGGTGTTTTCAATTTAGAAAATAGAAAAATGTCTCTGAAGAGGAAGCATACCATCCAGCAGAATTGGTATTTACATGCACGAAATATGTTTTAATGAATACTTTGGAATAAAACTAATAAATAACAAAGAGTTATATGTTAATGTTGTATGTTAATTTGCTTAATTAGCATCATCCAGTCTTTCTTTTTGAACATTAATCTTAAGCCAAAAAATTACATAAAACAACATATACCATTGATGAAATAGGTGCCATAGAAGTACTGGGTTCTATCTTCTTAATCACATCACCAACATAATAACTTAATCATAATCCAGACTTGAATTCAATAGAACCAGGGCAAAATATGAACAAACGAAAGATTTACACAGAGCTCCTAAAAATGTTCAGGGACACTACGATCAGATGTGCCAAAAGAGTAAGCGTCTTCTGCTTCTTCAACGACTTCCACCATGTAAGCTACGTCCTCTAATGATTTGTTTATAACAATGATTTAGTGATCAAAATTTCAAAATGACAGTTTCGCCTTTCATTTAATAAATATGGTTAACTGTGAAAAAATCAGAAAACATGCTTCGAAAAATAAACTTTGGTCGTCAAATAGGAGAATACTGCCTGATAGCAAAACAAAACAACGTTTAGCCAAGATCAATCCGAACTGACCCCGAAAAAGTGATAAAAATACTGTGTGACCCTATTATCTACAGACCGCCTTCATGCCGATTTCGCTGTTGCTAGATTATGCAATCAGTTTTGATCAACCATTGCATATCGGTAAACAAGATGGTCGTAGCAGCTGTCGTCTTAACTGAAGATGGACAAAAATACAGACCACGGGAAATTTCCAGGTATTTGTGGAATGTCAGTTAGATTTTGATACAGCTTTCTGATTATGATTTATTACACACTTTCAAATTAAGGGTAAATGCAATGAAGGAAGTACACAAAAACATAAGGCAGATTTGGGGAAGTGATGAATGTGGACTGATATGATAAAAGCATAACGATATACTTACGAGGGGTCAAGTAAAATGTCATCAAACTGGTCACTTGACGCTACTCTTATCTTTCCCAACATTTTATGCTTCTTCATTACCATCTCGGCAATTTTTGTATTCTCCTCCATCACCCACAACAAGTTGGTGCGTTCGCTTGAAAGAATGATCTTCAGATGTACCTGCCCAATCCGTCCAAGACCTAATAAAGCCAGCCCGACTTTGGTAGATGTCATTGTTATGCTGTCTGAGTAGCCTTAACCTTAAAATGAGGCCACTGAAACATATGCGTTTATTGTCACTGATAAGCCAATTTATTCTGTTTTATATAGTTCGTCACTAATTGTTGGAACTGGTCAACTGTTGTTATATCCTTACACTAATACGTTCATCTTGTTTGTTACTAATAGATGTCTTTCGTAACTGATTGACGTTGTGGTCACAGGGTAATTTATCTCGTCAAATATTACAACGCATGCTCTATTTTGTAGACCTAATGGTTATAATATAAGTCGACAACTATTAGAACGTGATATTACGAAAACATCATGAGATTGGTAGGTTTTAGAAAATTATTATGAACGTGTCAAAAACAGGTTTTTTAAGTTAAAATAACGGTTCACGGAAAATAAACTTTAAGTGTGTAATGTTGTTTTGATAAAGGAACCGATAGCTGCATGTTTTCTCTGTTACATTATCGTAACCATACATCAGCATAGAAAGAACATGTACATCACCCTAGAAACAATGGGAATGGTCAGTCTATGTAGCAGCTAACGAACCATCACTATATAGCCGTCGAAATAAATTGGCTTTGCAATATACCATTCAGCTAAAGTCAAATCCTTCAAATCCTGCTTTTTCCCTTGTATTTGATCCAAAATATAAAATCTTGTTTTAAAACAAAACCAATCCAACATTTGGTATTCGAATTTCCTCTCTTTTAACAAACAAAAATATTGATATTGTCCAAATTCAGTCATTTGGAGCGATAGAAATTCCACCCTTGCTCTTGAATTTGTCTGAAGTTGACTTTTCACTTCATGAAATGGTTAAAACAGATACCTTTCGTCCACCCTTCTCAAAATTACAGTCAAAATATAAACCATTTCTACATTTATATATTAATGGTTCAAAAGATAATGATAAGGATGCCGGCTACCGCACAACGCCTCAATATTCTCGGCAGGAGCACGAGCTATCTACCACGCCTTTGAGTATATTCAAAGAAACAAAGTAATGAGAGCTGTTATCCATTCAGACTCTCTTTCTGTTCTACAAAGTCTTAGCAATAGAAATATCGAAAATATTTTCATTCTTAATACCTTAATACTATATCATAAAACTTGCTTGTAACTTTCATATTGCTTTTTGCTGGGTTCCTGGGCACATGGGAATACCAGGCAATGAAAAAGCAGATCGTGCCGCAATGGAAGCTTTATTGCTACCACCTGTTGTTTTTAAGCTTCCTTTTACCGATTTTAAACAATTTATTAAACAAATTTTAAAAGCTCAGTGCATGAGTAATGGAATATATATACCAACAAATTGCACTCCGTTAAACCTGTTATCGGTGAGAGGTCTCCAGACTATAGAGACAACCACCGTCTTCGGATGGGTCATACATACCATACACATTCATATCTGTTGAAAAGCGAAGATAACTCTTGGTGCAAAGGTTGTGATGAGCCATTCACTGTTAAACTTTTTTTTTGGACTGCATTGACCTTCTGTCTACTCGACAATGTTTTTATCGTAACATTACATGTCTAAAATCCCTTTTTGAAACTGTTGAGATTTGTAAAATTCTACATTACCTGAAAGATGTTGGTCTATATAATAGACTGTTGCGTAGCATTTTAATCTTTTGTGTTAACATACCCATTTAAGATTTTTAATATTTGTCGTTTACCTTTTGATTTGTTTAATGTTATTTCTCTTTGGATCGCTGTGTGTTTTACCGTTTGTTGGCCCTAATGACCTTTTATGTGTTGACGGACCGTTACGAATGTAATAATGATAATTGAAACAACAGTTGCATAACCAGAGAATACAGGTACATTACCCTAAAGACATCTTTATAGACACAATATGTATATAACCCTAAAATACCTTGTGTATCACCCTTAAAAGCAGGTATGTCATTACAGAGGAGATAGATAATCTTTCTTAGCAATAGCAACAACATCACTCTAGAAACAGTTGCTGCACTACCCTTGAGACATCACCTACATCATGATAATGATGGCACCCCAAAAAGTAAATTACCATTGAAATAACATCTACGTCACTATTGAAATAATAGATTCATCAATGCAGCGACAACAGATAGAACATCGTAGAAAAACAGGTACAACACCTTACAAAAAGGCACATCGAAGAACGGGTACCCAAGCAACAACATCTATACATCTAAACTTTGATAGGGTAAAGGACGGTTATTGTATATAGTTTACATGTATGATTTATCTAAATCCATGCAAAAAATCAACTCTACGACATCTATATCGAAACTTTTAACAAGTCTTCATCATAATTAGCCATCAATCTGTTTTTCCTATATAAACTCTAGTAAAAAATTTCCCCTCCCCACGGGAAAATGTGAGATCTAGGGGCCATGAATTTCATAACTTTGGTAAAACACCTCAATATGCTTCCATTTATGGAGAACGTTTAATTCTACCATATCTGGCAATTGAAAGATTTTTTTTTAATCCTGAGTCAATTTCACCCTTTTGGCCCTGCACCTTATGCTCCTATGGGATGCGTACCAAATAATTATTTGTTTTGGTCCATCTTAGGCCAGGAAAGGTCTCTGAAAAAAAATCATTGAAATCGGTTCAGGGTTTTTAAGAAGTCTAACATGTTAAATTGTTTAAGGCCACACGAAGCCGGACAAAGGTGATGGCAATAGGTCGCCATGAGAATTTGTCTCAGGTGACCTGAAAACAGGTACATCGCCCTACTTCACCCCGGAAAAACAGGTACATTAGCCATGAGACAACAGGTAATCATCATAAAAACACCACTCTTGAGACAAGGTGCACCCGCTACTTTATATTGCTACCAGCAAACTCATATCACCATAGATACAACCAGTAAATCACCATCAACATTAAAATAACCCCAGAAACAACAGGAACCTAATTATGAATGCAACTTGACCATCAACCTAGAAACAACAGGTACACCTCCTTAGAAAAAAGTAAGCACCCTAGAATCTGTTACAAAACTACCATGCTCACAATTTAACTCGAGTCAAACTGGATATTAACTCAGTACCATATTATCTACCATACAAATATATACTCAATGGATGAAAAAACGTAATATAACATACTGTAATATCTTGCGAACGTGTTGTTCAGAAACAATGAAAATCGGTCAAGCAACTCTGTAGGTTACAATGCACATGATCCCCTATCGAATACTGCATTATTGTATTGCATGACGGTGTCTTCCGGGGAAACAGGAAATTTTTTGTGCACAGCAGTGTTGTGACATTGAGTTACACTGCTCGTCATACTATAAGGTTGTCTTCATAGAGACATATTTTGATTAATTTCCAACAGCATTAAACCACGGCTGATGGAAGTTCAGAGTGTCAAGGTATGACAGTTCTTTTATATAGTTATATACCGGTTTATTTAAAGTGTGATATATTTCTTAAAAGTACAAACATATATAGTAATGTATTGTTAACGGCGTTTGAATTGTGCCGCTTGTTATGCGGTCCTGTTGTACAAAGTGGGTATCAGTAGCTGGGGGGTATACTAGTACGACGCCGGATGGGAATTTTAGCCCATCAGAATTAAGATTTCCGAGCAGACAGAAACATTTACCTGGGCGGTAGATGGGTTTTAATGCTACTTCTGGCTGGTTTTTGGCCATAGTCCGTACCAATTGTATTTTGCTTCCATTATTCTGAACAATAAAGTGTTTCTGAGTGTCCTTAGCGAGTGAAGCGAAGCCTGGACTAGTCGCTTGAGCACATGTACTATATAAAGTATTAGGCAATTTCACAGAATTGTACAGTAGTGCTATTACGTTAAAGGTTTCATTAAATGTTTATAAAGGAAAGATAGTTGATAATAATCCGCTGTCATTGGGTTATTTCGTAATATTTGGCATTTTTCCTATGTGAAATGCAACTTGTGAGGTCAAGTTTGTAACTTTTACTTCCGGCACTAACCGGAAACCTTTCGGAAATATAAACAAATATGCGACTAGATGGTAAACAAATAGTTTCGGTCTGGCAGGCTCCGTCGTGATTGTGTGATGGGGTAGACAACAGAATGGGGACCTGACGAGGACGTCTGGGCATGACTGCTGCAGCCCTCACACCAGTTCAACGTACAGAACATGGGCGAACGACCTGAACTTTATCAGTCACCTGAGTGTATGTCTATTAGCCCTCTACAGCTCAAGCGGCACATCAACGTAGATGGCGATACATCCGAGGTTTACGTACCGGGACTGTCTCATTTGGGAATGGTGGTAAAGATTCAGATTCCAATATGTGGCAATCGTGGTATTTGAACTGTGAACTGTTATGGAACATTCAGCGTTATTATAGCCTGTATAATGAAATACTCACAGTGAATATGATAGAATAGTAGGGAGGCATTTAGTAATACTTATCCTATCTTTGTTGAATAGATGCGATGTAACGGAGGTAATGAAACAGTTATGTTAGATATCTTATGAAAGTTATCCTTCTAGTCATATTTCAGTTGTTGAGTAACATCCGTTGCCAGTATTGTTATTTTTAAGCTGACTTGACGCGAGATGGGATCTTAGAACAAAGATTGAATACTCTGTAAAACTATATATTTTTTTCTTGTTGTATATTTGTATATAAATTTGCTATTCACAATTTATATTCTGGTTTGCGTGTTCCTTTCACTTAGCACCAGTCCTTCGGATTAACTCTACAAAGAGGGGTCAGGCCATTGGGATGATTTTGCAGTCAAAGGCAAATACTGCCAGACATCTCCATGTCCATATTTGCAGTATAGAATTTTTTTAGACGTCTCAGGGAAACTGGGCAGGTAGCTGACAGACCTAGATCTGGGCGTCCGTGCGTGTCGTCACGTCAGGACATTTGTATTCGTTCCGCGCATTTGCGCAATCGGCACCTTACTGCCACTAAATCTGCCCTTCATACCATACCCTTCTACACACGTTTGTAGGTCTTCCCCTTACCGCTACTTGTTGTATGGCTTGGTTAGCACAT